TGTAATTTAATTAATGAGGTTTTTAAGCATTAGTTTGAATCATTGTCAGGCAGCTGCCATATAGTTCTCTGCGATTGCTGAAATTTTGACTATGACCCCAGACGTTATTTTGATTCAAGAAACCCTATTGTATTGAGGGCGTCTTTTTTGCATATAGTAATAGAGTTGTTCATAGGAATGGTGGGAGAAAGGCTATTATTGTCGTTAATCCAAACATTAATTTTATTACGAATTATTCCTTAGATGTAATTTTCCTCCTAATTTTTTTTTTTTTTTTTTTTTTTTTAATTTCTCGAATATATGCTTTTGAATCTTTGAGTTATTTGAAAGTCAAATAGCAGATGTAAAAGAATAAATAAATAAAGCAAATTGAACCATATGAAACAGGATAGAATAAACCAGTTTATTCAGATATCTCAATATATACAGACGCACATAAATTACATTATATACACAAGAGAGAAGTTTTTTATTTCTTTCGATATAAATATTCCTCTGACTTTAGAACGAATACACCTAAAGTTTTCTAGTTAGAATACACAGATTCACCACACAAAATCTATGACAGCTTACATAGTATATATTTGAATGCACATATATGTATAAAACAGTAACTGGTGTTTAAAAAGGAACACTAAGAGCGTTAATAACGACCATAAAGTTGTAAATTCAACTCTTTCCAAATGGGTAGTTTTAAATTCACCATCTATTCTCCAAGCATAAACGCTGACGTAAGCCATAAATGATGAACAAAGAGCAACACAAAAATCCTTAAAATTCGGTAGGTGATAAATAAATTTTAAAATTCTTATTAATTAGTTCACAAAAATGCAACATTTTTTCATCCTAATTTATATCCATATGCTTTTTGGGCAGATATAATTATCCTTAATTTTATCTTAATCTATTAAAATCTTTAACTATCTTATTTTAATCTATTTTTAATTTTAATTTGTAAAACTTATACTTTCTTTTTGCCTTTTCCTGTGCAATAGAATTATTAAAAATTACGTTCGCAGATGTGCACTCTGCACAAAAGGAAAACGGACAATTCTGTATCTCCTGTTCTGCTGGGCCGATGGACGAAATTCAACTCGCGGTTTTCATGTCTGGAAAGCAGGACTTAGGATATATATTAGATTTATTTATAGCATTGTTTTAATATAGGTATTTTAACACACAATCGGACTTTTTCTGAAACGACATACCGTTTTGTTATCCATATCCTAAAACTCAAACAACCGATCCTACAACTCAAATTATGTCTAAATATTAAACTGCGTACAATTTGGTGAAAAACATATCGTGATAATTTAAATATTTATCGTGACATACTGTTTTAAGTTTGCGCCAAAAATAGTTCACTTGGCGAAATTCTTAATTTATGGTAACTTATTTTACTTTCCCTTTCACTATGCCCGACCGGAAAGAAAAGTTCGGTTCTGGCATCGTTCATTTTTTGAAATAATTTTAACAAAATGCGTAAAAAACGTTTGGCGTTTATAATTAAAAATGTTTCTCGAAAAGTTTATAAAAACACAATTTTTAAAAATAAATCGGAAAATGTTTGCGAATTTTATTTGGATTGAACCGAAATTTCGAACTGCCAAAGAAGGAATCAAATTAGTTTAATAAGAGATATTAATAAATATATACAAAAATCAATTAACATTGAAGAGCTAAAATTTTGAGTAAATTTTTTAAAAACTACTCGTAATTTTTTACAAAACTTGGCGATTTGGTATAATTTGAGTCCTACAATTGAAACATTGAAAAAAATTATTTGTTATTTCAGAAAAAGTCAGATTTTTGTATCAGAACACCCATGTCAGAACAATGCTATATAAAAATCTAATGTACATATCTTAAATTGCGCTTTCGAGAAAGGAGAAACTCAGGTTAAATTTCGCCAGGTGGTTCAGTAGAGCGGGGAAACATAGAAATATCCACCTTTTCTTTTGTGTGTGTGCAGAATGTACAATAAAAATGTGTAAATTATAAGTAATACAACGTTGATGCAGCTGCATCATTCACTAATCCATTTCTGAGAAAAAACTATTATAGGTTTTAATGCATAACAAGATGCTTAGTAATACTGCCAAATTACATGCATCTCATCGTAATAAAGCTTCCATCTTTATTATGTGTTTGGATTTTAGAATCTTAATTTTCTGGAAGGATTAGTATACAAATAGAGTCCTGACCATTAATGGCACCTCAATGGTAAAAAATATGTGGCTCGCAAACTGTTCTTTTAGATTTATCATAGTAGAGTAATCTGTTCAAAACTAAAAGAACTGAGAAATTTGATATATAAGTTGCGGAAATATGATAGTTATTTTTTCGATAATTTCATTATGTATCAGTATTAATTGAGTGCCGCCCAGCCGGTGTAGTGGTTAGTGACCTTCACTGCCGTAACGATTGACCGGGGTTCGAATTCCGAAGAATGCAAGGTTGTAACTGTCCGTCCCCTTTCATAGAAGGCAACGGTGGCCACCTGTTAGATGTTTCTGTAACGAAATGGTTACCGATTCCAGCCCTTGTAGGAACGCAAGGCTAATGGATATTAAATAAAGCGCCCGGTTACTAAAAAAAAAAATTATGTTAAGTTGAACAGTCTTCAGATCTCAGCTTTTCGCGCAGTGACAATGTCTGCCAAGGCGCATAAATGGTAGCGTAATGCTATGCGCCGGATCTATGCGTCTATGCGTAATGCAACGGGTCCAAAGCCTTGGAGGGAGTACAATGAAAACGATGTACAAGAATGTATTTAGGGAAAATTGTGCAAAATTTACTACATTCGAGATGAAGTCGAATTAAAAGATAACGAATAAAATACAGTCAAAAAGCGTGTATGTACTAAATTTACAACTTTATGCAACTTCTGCATTTTCGAAATAGTTGTATATTGTGTCTGCAATGAATAAGAAAGTATATAAATTTCCATATCTTTACAGGCATATAAAAATAAAGGGAAAACGTTAAAATGATTAAAATCTTAAATAAGATTTAATTAAAAATTTTGATAAGAGTTATTCGAAAATAACTTATCATTTTTAACTTTGTTTTCACTGCTAGAACCCAACTTCTATTGCAGATTTTCTTTTCGTATATTTTCAGCTGTTTTACGCGTTTTCTCGGCTACTGCGTTAAGTCCAACATAGGTGCATTCCATTGATTCCACTAATGTTTTTTCCACCAATAAGCACAAAATCGCAATCACAAAATAGGAGGAAAAATAAAAACCTGTCTTATATAAAATATTCCAAAATTCACAATATCCGGCTTGACGAGGGGAGGGAGAGAACCTTAGGTGACATTCGTATTTTCATCCATGTTCAGCCACCACCGACGGAAACCCTTAATGACCATTCATCGTATCGTTACGTTATCCTGTCATCGATTATATCCATACCCGCTGATATTTTGTGTGCATTTCCTTAAAGCATTTGTTCTACCTGTCCGCGTGAAGAGTATTTTCAAGGCAAACAACTGGAAAGGAAGTCGCGGTCTTCGACTTTTGTTGCCAGACGTAACTAAGTGGCAACGAATTATACGCCACGAGCTGTGGTGGTTCACGGCCAAAGTTCGAACAAAGAAAAGATCGGTGCTAAAACAAACCACAAAACAATCCCAGATACGGTTGTTCTGTATTCGTTCGACGTACGGCATGCCTCGACGCTATTTAATCATCTCTGCTTAATTGTAGGTGTGAAAAGTAAAAAAGAGAGAGAACCTATTTAACGAGCTGTCAGAGTGCGTTAAGTTATATGTCACGTATTCATTTATTCACATTCGTGGTATTTGTCGGTTGCGGTTTAGCTGTTTAGAAACCTGCTTTTCCGTTTGCGCATGTGCAGAGAAAAAAAAGGGTTAAATCGCCGGCTGCTGAATTTAATATTGCTTATTCTAAACAGGTAGCATCTATTAAAAATAATTTTTTTTTCATTCATTTCTTGGGCGAATTTTATTCTCTGCATATATTAGGATAGAAAGATAAGGGCATGCAGTTATTTATACTGTCAAAATGTTTCCGATTGCATCCAGATAACTCGAATGTCATGTCATGTTTAACTCGAATGTCATGTCATGTTTAACTCGAATGTCATGTCATGTTTAACTCGAATGCTGCGAGCTTATGCGGTTTATATAAATGTCTCGCGCTTTTATCTCGTTAATTTACCCTTTTATTAATAGTTCTTTTACGCAAAGGTTCAATAATTACTTGCGAATGATCCCAATTCTTGTAAATTTCAAGATTAATGTCATATTTTTAAGAAATTCAAAATAAATTAAGAGGTTCTGCGGCTGGGGCGGCGTTGAGAAAGCGAATTTTTATAAATCCAGAACCAATGCAATGCAGCAAATGTTTTTAGAATTAAAAGAATACATTAAGCTACACATTGAAATAGCTAATTTCCTTTGAAGAACAGTTTATTATCTGTTTTCTAAATTTTTCTTATTGTGACAATGCCAGTTTTGCCAGAATAACGCTTTCGGGAAGACCGAAAGAATTATGTTTCGATTAAATGGCGAACTTTAACACGGATATAAGTGTAACAGTATGACAGAGCTTTCTTATAATTGAAACTCGTATCCAAATAAAATTTTCATAAATAAAATTAAAAAAAAAATTTTAAATAAAATTTTGATACTAAGGATGCTAAAAATTAAATTTTGAATAAATTCGCCTCTGAAATCAGTAAATAATATTGCTCAGCAAACAAAATTTGAATGCTATTTATTAAATATTATTAAAAAATTAAGAAGAATAACGGAGACCAATACTTAACGCGAGTAGTTAATTAAGTAAATAAAATAAAAGAAAGATTTGCGTGAAAGTTGATTTCTTATGAAAATAAATTTAATAAAAAATAAATTAAAAAGATAGTTCTCTCACAAATAAAATTTTAGTTTATAAATAAAATTTAAAAAAAAAAAAATTCAGATATTTCCAAACATGTTTTTTTTATAACAACAATATTTATTCACGAAATACAAAATTAAAATTAAAATTTCAAGAAAAGTTTGCACAATTTTTATGAAATGTTTTTAAATTTATTTCGCTTAAGATTTTCACTTAGCTGAACTTTTTAAAAATAATTTAAATATGTTTATATAAACTTCAAAAGCTATAAAAGGTAACTATGCATATACTGATTTACAATAAATTAAACAAAGAGAAAATAACTAATGGCTTAGAAATCCAGTTACCGTTTTTCCATATGAGATCATAAAACACCATTCAAAATACTCAATGTGTGTGAAAAACGGTACAAAATTGCACATAGTATTTATCTTTTCACACGTACTATATATATATATATATATATATATATATATATATATAAATACTAATATGCTAATACAAAAGTCTACAAATTTCTTAGCTATCTGTGATTCAAACATATAATTACTAATAAGGGAGATTTCAAAGTTTGCAAGAAATCGGTTTATGTTTTAGAAGCAATTAAGGAAAATTGTTATTTGATTTTATTTGTATATAACTCGCGAATTAACACATAAAATAAATTCTTCATACTTTAATAGTTTAAATGTTCCCTATTTGTGTTGTTAGAATGGTGAGTTTTAATAACAGTTTTCATTTTAGAAACGTATAGTAAAATTATTGTTTAAAAAAAAAAAAAAAAAAGCAGCATTTAATCTGAATATCTTTCAACCGGAGGTTTAATATATATTCACCTTTTGCCTCTCTTGAATTTGTTTGACCTGTCAAATATTGATTACTTTTTTACATTAGAGAAAACTAATTATTTATATAATTTGTATCAAATTAGTACTAAATTTTAGTACTGTGCCAAGCATTTTTTATCATTTAAGCTGCATGCAACTGAAAAATTTGTAGATTCCTGTATTTGTATGTATAATATATAACTATAATTCAGTTTATAAGTTTTTATATCAGAAATTATTTATTTCTGTTAAAGGTTTTATACTGCAAATTTATTCACAATATCGTTTACTGTATTAATAACCACATATAAAACTGCAATGGATGCTTCTTGAATGCCATTAAAATCCATGACCAGCACAGGCATTGTATCTTTTACATTAATGTCATATTCTTGCTATCTATCACAGTCAAGGGACCAAATATTTTTCGATGCAGTTTACATGCTTGTTTCCATGCAAACATTGCACTTAAGCTTCAGCCTTAGGAAATTATTTCTATGTTTTCGAGTATGCTGATACAACTTTGGTATTAGATACACCGTAACTCTGAAATAAGATGCACATATTTGCTTTCCACAGACTGGTGGCATAGATTTTCTTTTCAAAAGCTTTTGATGGTTTTTATTAGGAAGCTATGAAAATTGGATGATTTTTTTAATAGTTTGAGCTGCAAAATGTTTTCTATTTATTTATTCATCTATTTTGGAATTTCTTTGAAGAGTTAATGCCCCCTATTCAAGTCCAAAAATACAGAAGTCTGCCACGCGAATAGCAGGAGTATCACTCCTCTTATTGTGTCCATTTCTCACAACAAAACTCATAAATTTATCAATTACTGGTTACTTATTTACCATTTCTCCGTTATTTCAAACTTTCGTGGCAAAGGATAAATCTTAGATGTCCTACATAAAATCAAAAGGAGGTCAGACTTTGGTTGGTGAGACTTTAGGAGAATCTGGAGCCACAGGCTCGTTGTTGACTGTAATCGGTGGCAGCTGCCCTCCAGTTGCTAGTCTGTAAAACGCTGATTCTGCACTCGTCACTGCGGGTAAGGAATAAGGTGCAAAACGATGAACTTTAGGATTTTTTAGCAAAGTACCACCATTTGTAAATGCCCCTGGATCTTGACTACTGGTAATTCCTTCATGAAGAGAATCCACTAGGAGTCTGTGGTTATGCCCCAAATGTGCATGGAGTTGCCTCATTGCTGCCAGTTGGGCTCCATCTGTATGAGGAAAGAGGTTTCCCATCTGCTGCTGAGCCCCTGAAGCATTCGGCATGAGGAACGGTAAGTGACCCATAAGTCCCGTATAGAAGGACGGAGGGTAAGGTAGAGGCATGTATTTCTGCAAGTTGTCCAGATTTCCCATGTCAGAACCTCCAAACAGTTTTTCATGTAACATCCTTTGTTCCACAGTGGAAGCTGAGGAAGCTGGGGAGGTGGACCCTGGTGGGGAAGTCGGGGATCCCCTTACTATGCCTGAATCGAACATCCGCAAAGAATTGCTGCCTGGAGAACTGCGAGGTTGTTGGTGGCCATTCAGTAGAGTTTGGGACTCCAGGTCATCTGGAAGCAATAAATGATCTTTGAAATGCTATATTCAAAATATTGCGCATAATCAAAGAATAATACAGAGAATAGAACCAAAGAGAATAACCAAGGATTAATACAGAGAAATTTTTCAAAATCTTAAGCATATTTTTTTCTTATTTCTTAAATTTGTCAATAATATTTAATATTTCTTGAAAAAATGGATTGGTAATAGTCAAATAAGATCTTAAGTTACTTGGAAAAAAGTTATCTATCAGTTTAGAAAATTGGAAAAGGAACCTATTATTCGAAAGCTGTTTAATGTATGTTTGCTGTCTAATACAAAGCCTAAGTTATTAAAAGTTATAGTTTCGCATGGCATGTGATTTTCAGAAGAAATACTGGATGATTTTTTTCTTACTGCAACTAATCATTTCTGTAAAATAAAAAGAAATTCGTTCCCTCCTCCACCAAAAAATCCCATAAGAAAGCAATTTTTCTTAGGTAGATAGCTTTCGTATTCTTGTTCTAATTCTTAATCCCTCGCGTGCTAATTCTTAAATTATTTCATCCGACAGAAAAATGATATCTTCAAAACATAAGTTATTTAAAATTTCCAGTCAGATATTAGTATTAACGTAAAAAATTTATTGGTCTGGCATTATTATCAGCTACGTTTATGATATAATTCTCAGCTATTTAAGTGATCTATATGATAATAATTTTTATTCATTTATATTCTATTTATTAAGAGATAATTGTTTCAATACTTTAACCATTCATATGATTTAAAGCACAACGTAAATTTTCAACGACTTTACCTCAAACCGACATGTTTGTGATTTCAGTAAAAAATACTGCAGTCTCGAAAATTAATTCTTAATTGTAAAGTTGACAATAGTAAAGCTGAAAGTTAAATATCTGATGTGGCCACCATATGATTTCCTCCTTGTACGGCCTTAAATAATACACATTTTTTGCTGCATTTCATTTAAATATTATTTATTTTATTTTTAGAATTTAATTGAAGATATATTTCTTATTCAATGAATTCAATTCTCATTTTGCGGCAAGGCAAAAATGCATAAAAATTCAAAACATCTTCATTAAAATTTGTAAAACACAGAAAAGCCTAAGACACCAAATACTGTAAAAAACAGTTAAAGAAATCAATTTTTCCAATTAAAATTTAGAGTTTTCTATTAAAAAAGAAGCAATTCGGCCAGCGGGCAGAAAGACAAAACTGCACAGTTTACCAACATGTAAGAATAAAAATACTTTTTGTTTAATCAAATGGGCGGTCACTTGCAATTTTTTTACCCCTCCTAAGGCCAGAAGTGGGGCCATTTTAGGCGACCACCGTTGCCCCCTATGAGGGGACAGACAATTTACATCCATGCTTCTCCGAGGTTTGAACTCAGACCGGAACCTTTATTCTTTTTGTATGTTTAGATGTCAGGCAAAAACATCAATCAAATGGATTCGAAAGTGGATAAAATGGATATTTTCTTTGAAATATGATATTCGAAATTTTTTGGGATTACAATACTTCCTTAATAAAAGGAAGTAAAAAGACTAGTAAAAGTTTCTTCCTTTTACAATAAGAATGAAAAATGAAAATTAAAAAAAAAAAAAAAAAAAAAAAAAGGAAATTGTAATGTTATCAACTACATCCATTTTTCAAGTTAATTAAATAAAGAACCTTCCAAAATTTTTATTTGCTCTTGAAATTCTTTCACAACTCTTGAAAATGCTTTATTCCGAAGACGTGAAACTTTTAAGACATTCTCCTCTTTTTGACCGAAAAATATCGATATAATACAACTAAAAATCTATCAGGAGAGTCCATAAATTACAAAATGACGATAACAGTAACGGTTAAGTAATAATGCGGATACATCGTAGAAGCTGTAAAATGAAAGCTGCTTGGGAAGAAAGTTTAGAATTGCACAAAATCCTTTTAAGAATTTTTTTAAGAAAATAAAAGCATGTGTAAAATATTCAAAGTATAATTTTTATTGCTGATAGAGCAGAATTAAATTATTAATATTTATTAACAGTAATAAACTGTATAGAACATTAAATGTAAGTTGCTTTTTAAAAGACAGCACACTGAAGTAAAAAAGACTGCTATAACTCAAAGGCCTATGTATAATAATTATATATAGCCTATTATTCTTAAACAAAAGCGGGCAAAGAAATAACATATTAACAAAGCATATGTAGCTCTTTTTCGCTTTACTTTTACATGTAACTTGATTATGCGTATTAAAATTTACCATTTAATACTGTGTTTCCAAATTTTGAAACCCACCAGGGGCCGAGCGGTAAAGTCGCTGAACACTGGTAGTTCGGTCCGAGGTTCGAATCCCTCGAACGGGCTGGCTGCATGGGCGTTTTCGTGGTTTTCCCCATGTGTAACGCGTATACGAGCCAGTTTCCTTTAGAAAGTCCTCCACGAAGGCATCCCTCCCTTTAGGCAGATAGCCCTAGTGTGCTTTGCCATAATTAAATAAACCAAAAAAAAACCAACCCAAATTTTGTAACATCAAGACCTACATACATGTCGTTGCTCTGACGGAAAAGGGGGGGGGGCAAGAGGAAAAAAAGCGTTCAGAAAAAATAATAATAAATGCATATTGCATACGTATATTAATAGTTAAAATTAAATTCAACGAAATAATTAATTCTAAATTTTATGTACCATTCCATCCATACTTTGAAAGCCCGTAAGTTAGAATTTTTAACCACTCATCATGACCATTGTTGAAGAAAATGAACCAACGAAATTTGATGAGATAAATTATTTTCTTTTTTCTTCTGAAATTAGTAACAGTCTTTTCTTTTTAAATACTTTTCGCCAATTAAGTTAATTTTGACTGAAATAAAATATCTAAAAAAGAAATTTCTCCTTTCAGCGATAAATGACAAAAAGTTTTTATATCAATGGCAGCAAGTAGATAAATAAAACTTCCACGACGTTCGAAAATAATGATCAAACAGCGTGCTTGGACGAAAACCACCATAGCAGTTCAATTCATTTATCTTTTGCTTTTGAACCCAAAAATCTAATAATCGTTACAATTTAGATAGTCGCAAATTTTCACATTTGCATATGTTTCCACCAATAGTGAATCTGCATATACGTATACACAAAAGTTAGAGAGAAGTAAAATAATAATAACTATAAAAAAAGTATTCTTAGAATGTGTTCAGACCCCTCCCTAGATGGAAGCGAACAAAAGCTACAATGCAACAGCGCACTTACGAGTCCCATTCACTGGGCCTGATTAATATTCCAAACTGCAACATCTTTGCTGGCAAAGCGAAGTATGAGTGATTCTGAAAGAAAGAGGCGTTATAATAGTGCCAAATGCAAATCCTTCCATTGCCAGCTTCATCTGTTGTATTGTTGACGCATTCACGCGATTCTGATAATAAATTGCATTCTGATGTAAAACGCAGCGCGGTGATTTGCTGTGCCAGGAATCCCCACCAAAAGAGCTCATCAATAATTCTTAGCATTGCCATCAGGGGGCATTGTTTGCAGAGATATCGTTCTGTTTGGCGCATACGTCTCCACGGTAAGTGGAAAGTTCCGTACCATTAGAAGAGCGGGCAATCATTAATTTTCTAGATTGCAATTTTCATCAAGAATTCTTCTCGCTTTCATGTGCACACATTTTAAAATATTTTTTTTCTTTCTGCCGAATGGAACGGTCTAAAAGCTTTTAAGTTTCAGCTTTTGCCTTTTGAGCTTTTGAGAGAGTTAGGTGAATAACTAAAAGCAAAAGCCAGGATAGCAGTTTCTTCTCGTAAAGGTTTTTAAGACGCTGATGGTCCATCGTCCTGGTATGGAAGGCGAACAAGTAAATGCAAGTACATGGGCTTTGTGTTCCACATTTACATGATAATTTTATTCATTTAATTAAGCAAGACTACTAGTTCTATTACTAGTACTAGTCTTACTAGTTTTTCATGTTAGAACAATGTAATAATAATAGAACACTCATAACTGCATACAAGTGCATTTAAATATTTTATCTGGGAAATAATCTGACAATGTCGTCGCCTTTCATGACATTCTTCGAAATAGTTTGTACAAAGTTATGGCATTTTATAGCAAATGGAATTATAAGAATTTCAGCTTTTCGGCCGAGTTTCTTTCCTTTAAATTGTCTAGGTCTAGAATCTGTTTACCTTCTTGCAGTAAAAAGCGTACATTCATGTATATATATTTTCCTCATTCACTGAGATTGCTTAATAATCCAAATTTGTACCCCTCTCCTCACTAGGTTATGAATTGTGGATTTATCTTTGATAAAAGTTACCAGTATTGCTTTAAAAATGAAGGGCTTCCGTAGTTAGAAAATCCCTAAATCGTGTGAATTTAATTTTTTTAACAGCTGTTAATTACTAAAGGAAACATGAATCCATGACACAAGTGCCAAGAATTCGATCCAATTCCTAACTAGATACGTACCATTGTATACCTCTGCTCAGCTTCCCTTCCTTCGAGATATGCAGTAGTTTTTCTACTTAAGTTCAACAACGATTAATAATTTCGAATTTAAGAACCGGAATGGATCCACGAATTCAGGCGCCGAAGAAAATGGATTCAGTTTGTACAGGACATTAAAAGCGTTAATTTTGAAACAAGCTTATCAAATCGTTCTTTCAGGAAAAGGTATCAAAATGAAACGCCAGCTTAATTTCATCAGACAGTATTTTCAGTTCAAAAGTTTTAAAATATTTGACCAACGCTTTCGCACTAACTTCTGAAGTATTCAGAAGAAATATTTAATGAAATGTTAAATGCAAAAAGATTTATTGGATGCTGGGCTTCGAATATCTCACGAATATAGAGGCTGTTTTCACATTTTTTAGATGACTTTCATTTTATTTACAGGAATATCTTACCTGGATGCTTGTATTTTAAATTGTTCTGTTTGTTAACCCTTATTCTTTGCTATCTTTCTACACTGCAATTTCCCCAAACAATAAAACCTTTTGTAGAATCGGAAGAGGTATTTCAT